GTTAAGCAAGGACGTTTTTGAGCAGTCTTTTGGAGAGGATTACTGCATCCAATTGTGGGAGATTTATGAGAGATCTAGAGCTTTGTTTTAGGGTTTGATCAGTGAGATTTGTAACTCTACTTGTACTCTCTTGATTTCTAATAGTAAGAACTCTCCCCTCCTTACCCCGTGAACATAGGCAACTTACCAAACCATGTAAATAGTTTGTTCTTGCTATGATTGTGATTTGCTTAGTGGTTGTGATTTATCTTGAGTTATTGTTTGTGTCGCTTCGAAGCTTCCGCCGCGCACAACAATTAGTATCAGAGCTCTGAGTTGGACTTGGGAGCTTGTTCGAAGGATTCGCTGTTAGATTCTTATTTGAAGAGTTAGATCGACAACATGGGAGAATCAAGCACATCAGGTTCGTCTCTTACTAAGATGATACATAGTTTGAGCATTAATAACATGAATATTAATGTTCCGAAGTTCGACGACAAGATCAATTTTAGTTTGTGGAGGTGCCAGATGATGGATACGTTGGACTCTCAAAACTTAGAGGAGACTCTTGAGTTAAAAGAGAAACCTGCTGATATGGAAGGAAATGTTTAAAAAAAGATGAATAGTAGGGCATGTGGAGTTATTCGGTCATGCTTGACGTCGAATCTTATCTATGATGTGATGAACAAGACGTCAGCGAAGAGAATGTGGGAAACACTCAATGAGAAGTATCTTACTAAGAGCATTGAGAATCGGCTTCACTTGAAGAAGATGTTTTATCAATTCAAGATGAAGAGGGAAGTTTCCATCAGGGAGCATGTTAACAACTTCACGAAGCTACTTTCTGACATGATCAATGTGGATATCATGGTTGAGGATGAAGACAAGACGATGCTACTTTTGTGTTCGTTGTCTAGGGATGATTATGGTATCTTTGTTCTCACTATGATTAATAGAATAACTACTGTTAGCTACAATGAGGTGACCTCAGCGTTGGTGAATTATGAGTTGAGGAAGAGTGTTAATGAGTCATCTGAGAAGGCATTAGGAGATGCATTAGTAGTTCATGGTCGTGGTTCAAACCGAAGTAGGAGGTCGCAGTCTAGAGGGGCACATCGTGAAATTCGTAGGAATCAGTGTGTTTTTTAGAGGATGGACATTGGAAAGCTGAATGCCCAAAGTTAGATCGAGCCGAGAAGAATAAGGGGAAAGCTGTACAAGATTTTTAGGCTATTCATTGTCTGTACTACCGTCAGTTTGTGTTACCAACTCTACAGAGTGGATGTTGGATTCGGGTGCTTCTTACCACGTTTGCCCTAGGAGGGATTGGTTCTCCAGCTTTCAGAAGTTGTAAAGAGAGGATGTTGTGCTCATGGGTAATGGACATACATGCTCTATTGGTGGTATTGGTACCGTTCGGATTAAAATGAGCGACGAGGTGATTCAGGAGTTGGATGAAGTGAGGTTCGTTCCACAATTAAAGATGAACATCATTTCACTTGGAGCTTTGGAGGCAGCATGCTATAGGGTGACCTTGGTGGATGCACGTTTGAAAGTCACATTGGGGTCCATGATTATGATGAAGGGCGTCAGAATGAGCAATTTGTATTATTTGCTCGGAAGCACAGCGATTGATAAGGAGCTGACGACTTCATCAGATTCGGCTAGACTGTGGCGTTGTTTGATGCTTGGTTATTTGATTGGTAATGTCATGCATAGGTTGTTGAGGAGTGTTTTGACCTACAGTTTGAAGTTCTATGAACCCATTGGTATGAGCAAGAAGATCGAGATGGAGTTTGGCACTTCTATCCATCATTCGAGGGGTCTGCTGAGGGTTGTTCATTTAGGCATTAGGGGCCCTTCCAAGGGAGCATTATTGGGAGGTAATAGGTATGTTGTTTCCACAGTTAGGGATTGTTCTAGGCATTGGTGGGTTGCAACCAAGTCCCATTGGTGTGAAGTCCTAGAAGCCTGTAACATAGGGAGGAAGTGTGTTGATAGAAAGGTAACCCGACGTTCTGATTATGGTAGGGGTTCTTTCTTGCGTTTGTACCGAGCTCACGATAATTGGAGACACTTTATTGGTGTGGAAACTTTGAGGCGACGTGATGAGATGGCAGAGTTGGGGAGCTGTTCCTTGCTGTAGGAGGATCAACATTTTATATCGAGCATTGGTATTGGTGTGCGGGCTATGATATGTTTAGGCCATCTTATGCATAGGTTGCCGACTGCTGCATGTAGAGATTTTGGATCTGGTGGAGCTGCTTTAGATTTTGGGTTACGTCGGATGTTTGACTACCCAGCACTTGGTCATATCATGGATGTAAGATTTGATCCGATAGCATATTTGGGAGTCAGAGGCGTGTTTGATTATCAGGTATTGGCTTCTGACTTTGTTCTGAGTAGGTATGTCACGTTTGACTCTCGGCAGGTGGAGAGTGGTGATCAGATATTTGGGACATCGTAGCTGGTGGAGAGTGATGCTACTCCACGTTGGGTGGAGACTCTAGATCATACTGCATCATTTGGGATTCTAGTTGATATGACACAGATTGGAAATCATGTTGATTTGGATGCAGATGATAGGTTAATCGATTCGAGTATAGCTGATAGATAGAGTCTGGATATGGCCATTGGTTCATCTCAGGTGGAGATGGATTGTTTCATTCTGGGGTCATTGGCGGTGCTATCAGCCGTAGACTTGATCGTGATGTTGGAGAAGGGTTGCGAACTCTTCTAGTGGATTGAGTCCTTTGGAGGCCACTACGTTCGGCTTGATTTCTTGGGCAAGAGGATACGTAGGCAGTCTTTTAGATGCAGCCAGTTTGATTTCGATAGGGGAGATCGTGTTTCAGCTCTAGTTTGGATCTCGGACTTGTTGTGGATTGAGTCCGTTGTTGTGGGGTGTTTCCATGACGTCCTGGACGCAACAAGTGGGATATTTGGATGATTTGGTGTCGGCTCAGTTTTTGGTAGAAACATTCGCCGAAGTGGAGAATTGAAGAAGTGGCGAGAGAAGTGCAGGAAATCAGACTGGCGGTTGACCGCTGCGGTCGACCGCTAACGTGCACAAAGGGCAGTAGGATTCGAAGCTGAAGGCGGTCGACCGTGGTGTTCGACCGCGAGTACCCTGTAGGTGATTTTTGATCTCGGGATGAGATTCGGTCGACCGTCACGATCGACCGCGTCATGACTGTAATCGATTCTGCTCTCGGGTTTTTGGTTCGGTCGATCGCCGCGGTCGACCGCAGACTGATTTTGGGCTGGGCTTTGTTTTTTGACCTGTTTCGTTTCTGAGTTGATATATAACTCTAATTGTAATTAGTTAGGGTTAAGCAAGGATGTTTTTGAGCAGTCTTTTGGAGAGGATTGCTGCATCCAATTGTGGGAGATTTGTGAGAGATCTAGAGCTTTGTTTTAGGGTTTGATCGGTGAGATTTGTAACTCTATTTGTATTCTCTTGATTTCTAATAGTAAGAACTCCCCCCCTCCTTGCCCCGTGGACATAGGCAACTTGCTGAACCACGTAAATAGTTTGCTCTTGCTGTGATTGTGATTTGCTTACTGGTTGTTATTTATCTCGAGTTATTGTTCGTGTCACCTTGAAGCTTCCGCCGCGCACAACAGAGAGATCATGGTAGAAGAGAAGGATAAATGAAGAATAAAAAGAGAAAGAGAGAGGAAGTGAAGGAGAAGGATGAGGAGAGGTGTTGGAGGAAAGTCAGGAGCATTGAAAGAGAAGCAACGACGAAAACAATGACGGTGGAGGAAGAGATAGGGCTAGAGAGGAGAAAAAAGATGAGAGAAGTTGAATTTGAGAAATGTTTATGAGTTTGTGGAATAAATGAGAAGGGAAAAAATTAAAGAAAGAAAAAAATAATTAAAAAATATAGAAGATGAGAAGGGAAAAAATAATTAAAATATAGAGAATATGAGAGAGGAGTAGGGAGGTGAGAGAGTTGAAGATGAGAGAGTTTTATGGAATCACGGAAGAGATGTGAAGAGAGGGACAAAAAAAAGAGGAAGAAAAGGGAGAGAAAAGGAGGGGGGAAATAAAGAGAGAGGGGGTATTTTTGAAACTTTTAAAAAGATCACATGGGCTGGGGGGGCTTTTGAAAAGCTTATTGGGTTAAAGGCTTTCTAAGTTGGTTGGAACAGTTGAGGGGTTTTCTATTTAGATCTCAGAAGTAAAGCTCTCATTGCAATTTTTCCCAATTTCTATAATCGGTTTTTTTTACTATAAACCCTGAAGTCTTACCCACATGATTACTTAAAAACGCATATAGTTTTATATGTTGTCATAACTCAAGATAAATTTACTTACCTTTAAACCAAAAAAAATATAATAGAACGTGTGTATCTACAAATATACAATAAGGTTTATGGCTATGTATACGCTCTCTTTATACTATGCAGCAATATAACATATACTAATTACTTTGCTGTACACTATATCTCGTATGCAAGTATACACTTTTTTGTATATTGCTGTACACTCTTCTATCATATAAATTGGGTTAGAGGTATTATAAACATTGTACGTTGGACATAAAACTATGCTGGTTTCAAAGTAAATGGAAAGAAAAGTTTGGGTTTAGAAGCAAAAAAACGCTTTCTCAAATGGGGAAAATGTCACTATATATAGGTATATATTTTGACCAATTTTAGTGGACTAAAGCGACCACATGACTAAAACGAGAATGTCATCATTCATTTTACATTACTTAATACCGTTCTGTATTAATTAGGCCTAGTCGTTCAATACTCCAAAAAGTAGGTATATATATAATCAAATTAAGGCTACTGCCCAGTGAAAGCATGCTATAAACTTCACAAGCAATTAAATTTGTGTACATGCAATTTCAAAAACCATATAGAACTACATAGAAATAGCCAAGTCTACAGACGCATTTTCCCGGACCATGACGTGCGCTTGAAATTCTATTGTGGGTCAAAAAATGAACGGAAAAACAGAAGATACTACTCTGATACTAATCTACCTGTGATGAATTAGTATATACCTGCATCATAAAAGGGACATCAAGCACTTCACCCTCCACCGGAGGATTAGGCAAAAGCTCACCCTCAGAGATCAATAGAGGATGATCAAAATATTTGACATCCTCAAGACTACAGTTGGCCGTTGCCTCAACAAACCAAGCCCCTTGACCGGCGCACTCGACCACGACCTCCCCTTGATGCGACACCGCAAATCTCCCTGCTAGAGGATAGTACGGCACAAGAGCCTTGGCCAAGGCATCTCTTATGACCTTGGCCGGTTTTTGCCCGTGCCTGAACACGTGCAGCGACCGGACTTGGTGCCTTAGCCCGGGGTTACGGTCTATGGCCGAGAGTTCTAGGGTTTCAGAAGGCGTCGGTTCGCTTGGCTTCACCAAGGACTCGGATTGTCTTGTCACTGTGAATCCCATATTGATTGATGTCTTAGTCGTTTGAGATATATGGAGATGGTATTAGTATTTGGAACTTAGGATTGATATCAGATTGATGTTGTGTGGTTCTTTATATAGGTGGGTTCTCTCTTAATTGGTTGAATAGTTTTAGTCAGACGACTCAAAAATAGAGAAGTTTGTAGAATGAGTCTTGAGGAAGAAGGGAAGAGAAGAAAACGACATGATGAGACTATTAATTAACTGTTGGGGAATTCAAGCTACTCGACCACCTGTCTAATATGAACCCTCTGCGGAATTTGCCCTATCAGATCTTGTGTTAAGATAATAGAAAGAAGAAATCACGGCAAATAAAAAAATTATAAGAAAAGGAGAACACTGAGTTTTAACGAGGTTCGGCAACTTGCTTATGTCTTTGGGAGCCACACAAATAATTTCCTTTATATCAAAAAAGATTACAAGCTTGTAAAAAGCAGATCTCATACTTGAGATCTCTCAAAAACAAAGAAACAACAGAAACTTTCTGTTCTTCAAATAAGGCGTGAGATTTTACAACTTGTAAAATCTCTTCTCAAGTCACCGTGAAAAAATCGCATAGGATCACGAGATTTTTCTTCTGAAAAATCTTCGCTACAGAAGCTCAATAAATGATTGCCGCCAAAGAATTAAACGCTCTGAGAAGAAGAAGAACGGGGGGCAAGGGGATTTGTGCTCTGGGTTTCCCTTTTATAGGGAAACCCTAGGTGGGCTGTCGACAGCCTGTCCTCCACCAATGCAAACAAGATCCCACGCCAAGCGAGCTCACGTAGCTGTCCAGGAGGTCACCTACACCTCACCTACCGGCGAGCTCATCGCTTGAAGCTCGCCTATGTCGACTCGCTTGCAGTGCATCGACCCCGACTACAAGATCCAACTCGAGCTCGAATGTGCCTCACGTCGACCTCGCCTGTAGGGCCCCGCCCTCGCTTGTAGGACCTTTGCTCGAGCTCGCCACGAGCTCGCCTGCCCTAGTCGTCGACTCGTCCTCGTGTGAATGTCTCGAGCTCACCGACTGGACCTCGCCTGAAAGGTCACGAGCTAGAGCTCGCCTAAAATCTGTGTCATCGATCTTGAGTTCGCCTAACATTGTCGAGCTCGCCTGAATCGTGGGGTCGCTGTCGCCATCGAGGTTTGGGTCTACACCCCTTTTTTCAACAATCTCCCACTTGGAGACCAAACCGCCATCAGCAAGCTCTCATAACAAGTATCTTCTCATCGTGTGCCTCCGCCCTCATCTCTTATGCATGAAAGCCAACTGAAGTTTTGCACAACTTCAGTTTCTGAATGGTAACTGTTTTAGTCAATATATCAGCAGGATTTTGGCTCCACAAAATCTTCTCTAACTGTAACTTTCTTTCCTCAATCATCAAATGTATGACGTGGTAACGTAACTCGATGTGCTTCATTCTGGCATGAAATACTGGGTTCTTGGAAAGGTGTATAGCACTCTGGCTATCACAATAAAGAACATTGTTCCCCGCTTCAGACCCAACTCTTCAAGACACCCGGTTAACTAAATCATTTTTTTGCTCGCCTCTGTCACTGCGACATACTCTGCCTTAGTTGTGAATAACGTCACAATCTTCTGCAAACGTGAGACCCAACTCACTACTGTCAACCCTAAGGTATAAACAAACCCCATGGTGCATCGCCTTGTATCATGATCACCTACGAAATTTGCATCTATGTATCCTTGCAGTATCAACTCCTTTCTCCCAAAACACAGTGGTATATTCGTAGTCCCTCTCAGATATCATAATATCCTATTCACGGTCTCCTAATGCTGCTTTCCTAGGTTGCTTGCAAACCAGTTTACAACTCCTACTGCATTGGTAATATCCAGCCTCGTGCAAACCATTGCGTACATCAGACTACCAATAGCTGATGAATAAGGCACATTTATCATGTGCTCCTTCTCTGCATCAGTCTTGGGCGATTGTTCCCCAGATAACTTGAACTGGCTTCAAAGGGGCGTGCTAATGACCTTAGCATTCTGCATGTTGAATCTCTAAAGTATTTTCTTAATGTATTCAGACTGACTCAACTTCAGCGTCCCCTCAGCCGCATCTCGGCTGATCCGCATCCCAAGAATCTACTTCGTTGCACCTAGATCTTTTATAGTAAACTCCTTTGCTAGCTTCTTCTTCAGCTTGTTTATCTCCTGTAAACACGGTTCTGCAACTAACATGTCATCAACATACAGCAATAACACGATATAGCTGGACTTGAACCTCTTGAAGTAACAACAATGATCTGAATTGCATCTGCCATAGCCATTGTTCTGCATGAAGTTATCGAACTTTCTTATACCACTATCTTGGGGCCTGTTTCAATCCGTATAAGCTCTTATTGAGCCTACACACCATCTCTTACTTTCCTTCCTCAAGAAACTAACAGGTTTCTTCATGTAGATTTCTTCATCCAAGTCACCATGAAGAAAGACAGTCTTCACATCTAACTGCTCAAGGTAGATATTTTCAGCAGCTACCAAGCTCAACACCACCCTGATGGTTATCAGTTTCAAAATGGGGGAAAATATCTGTGTATAATCCACTCCTTCCCGCTGTTAGAACCCCTTCACGACTAATATAGCCTTGTATCTCTTCCTTCCATCACTCTCCTGCTTGACATTATAGACCCACTTGTTATGTAAGGCTTTCTTTTGTGCAGGTAGCGGGGCTAACTCACATGTCTCGTTAGAGTGGAGAGAATCCATCTCTTCTTGTATTGCATGTTCCCACTGCTGAGATTCGCTCACTTGCATAGCCTCCTCATAGCATTCAGGTTCTCTGTTATCTGTCAAAAGTAGGTAGTCTAGTGATGAGAGATACCTGTGATTCGGTTTTGGTACCCTGAATGACCTCCTAGGTTCCTCGTCCTAGGTAGGCAGTTCTGCACCTGGAGTGTCCTTCGTTCCTCGGTCAGAATTGACATTGTCTCCTCTATCTGGAAGTTCTTCCAAATCCATGTACTCGGATACGCCCGCATCCGTAGTGCTGCTCCACTGCTTTGGCTAGCCTTCACATTATCCTTATTCTTGTACATTGCCTCCTCATTTAATATGACGTCTCGGCTCCTGATAATTTTCCTGTTCTTCTCATCCTAAAGACGATACCCGAACTCATTAATGTCGTACCCAATGAATGTGCACTTCAGTGACTTAGCTTCTAGCTTGTCTCTGTCATAATCACTGATATGGACATATGCCACACAATGAAAGACTCTTAAGTGTGAGAGATTAACCTTCTTACCACTCCAAACCTCTTCTAGGATCCCAAAGTTCAATGGAACTAATATCCCATGATTTATCAAGTATGGTGATGTATGCACCAGGTCTGCCTAAAACGTTTTTGGTAGACCTACATGTAGACGCATGCTCCTCGCACGCTCTGTCAGCGTTCTGTTCATTCTTTCTGCTATGCCGTTTTGTTGCGACACCCCTGGAGTAGTCCTCTTAAAATGAATCCTGTTCAGAGCACATAACTTATTGAACTCCTCCAGTTCATATTTTTCACCATTGTCTGATCTCAGACACTTCACTTTTAAATCTCTCTCATTCTCCACCACGACTTTCCACTTCTTGAAGATGTTGAACACCGCTGACTTGTGCTTCATGAAGTATACCTATACCTTCCTCGAGTGATCGTCGATAAAGTTAACGTAGTACGTCGAACCGCCAAGAGAAGATACGCTAGCCAGACCCCATACATCTGTATGAACAAGCTCTAGCTTGTGAGCTTTAGGTGGTCTTCCACCCTTCAGAAAAATAACTCTCTTTTGCTTCTCGAAGATGCAGTCTTCACAAATACCAATTTTCACTAAATCGATGCTGGTTAGCTTCCCTTCTGAGTGTAGAATCTTCATACCCTTCTTACTCATGTGTCCTAACCTATTGTGCTACAAATCTATATTCTCCTTGCCTACTGCAATTACGAGGGTGTCACTCACATGTGAAGTTAGGTAGAGGGTACCAGTCTTGTTGCCATGGGCAACCACCATTGTACCATTAGAGATTTTCCATGAATCTCCAGTGAATGTTGTAACATAACCTTCTGCTCCAAGTTGGCCAACCGAAATAAGATTCCTCTTCAGCTTCAGTACGTGTCTGATATTTTTCAGAGACCACTTGGAGCCCTTCAACTGTATTTGCACATCACCTCTTCCAATAACACTACATGGTTCATTATCCCCTAAGTATACTTTCCCTAAGTCCCTTGCTACATAGTTCTGAAAGAGCTTCCTATTAGCAGTAGTGTGGAAAGAGTCTCCCGAATCAATGACCCGTGAATCGTAATCGCTATCCATAGTGAGAATCAATGCATCTTGCACAATATGAGCCTCCTGCTTATTTTGTCCTTCTTTGGTGCTTTACAGGTAGAAGACATGTGGCCCTCTTGGCCGCCGTTCCAACATTTCCCTTTGATAGGTCTCACCTTCGAGTTTGACCTCTTCTTCTTTGACTTCGATCGATTCCTGTTTTGGTTCCCCCTATTATGGCTTCTGCCTCTCTGCTCAAGACTTAGGGCTGAACCTGAACATTCTGATTCATTCAATTTCCTTGTAACCTCCTCGGATAGAATTATAGCAACATCTTGTTCAGTTTCAACTTCTCCTTCCCTGCCGAGTTACTGATTGCGGTCACGCAACTTGCCCAACTATCTGGCAACTACGATAGTATCAATAAGGCCTGCACTTCGTCATTAAACGTGATGTCGACTGAGATGAGTTGATCAACAATCATGTTGAACTTACTGAGATGTATCGTGAAGGAACATCCTTCTGCCATCTTGAGGTTGAATATCATTTTGACGAGATGCACCTTATTTGCAGCTGACGGTTGCTTGTACATCATTGTGAGCACTTCCATAAGCCCCACCGTCGTCTTCTCCTATAATATATTGTGTGCTACAGATTTTGCGAGGGCCAATCGGACCTGCCCCAGGGCTTTTCAATCCAATATTTCCCAGTCCTCGTCGGATTCTTCTTTCTTCTGTCCTTTTGCTTTACCCATCAGCGGACAGTAAAGATCCTTCTGGTACAGATAGTCCTCCATC